CATTTCACCCACCTCGGAAGGATGGAAGGCTGAGTCAACCTTGAGCCGGTGAGATTAGAACAGCCAAACTGCAGATAACAGTCAGCTGAAGTGGCCTGCAGTGCTGCACTCTAACCACTGCGCCACCTTGGCTCTAATTGAGAAACTTCCTAACAACGAAGACAATTAACCAGTGGAACTGCTTGCCACCAGAAGTTGTGGGTGCTCCAACACTGGAGGTTTTTAAGAAGAGACTGGACAGTCACTTGTGTGGAGCGGTATAGGGCTTCCTGCCTGAGCAGAGGGTTGGACTAGAAGAGCTGCCTTTCAGCCTTGTCCTGATTAATTTGACCTCCCCTGGGAGGTTTCATTCCCCCCAGTCTGACCTTTCCCCCTTTCTCCCCCCCCCTGAACAAAGCTTTCCAGGCGGAGGAGTGTCCCAGCGTCATTTTCTGTATCAGCATGCAGTGGTTCCGCGAGTGGGAGGCCTTCGTCAAAGGGAAGGACAACGGTGAGACGCTGGCGGAGGGGGTGGGACACGGGGACCCCTACAAAGATGTGGACCAGGAAGCGACATCCCGCTTCACTGCTGGTTGAAGTTGTGGGATAAAAACCGGGCGGCCAGTTGATCAATTCCCCTCTTCCTTGGTCCTTTCCAGCAAGGCCCAGCCTTGTGATGATGATGATCACCGTTAATTCTAGGAAGGGGAGGTCCTCACTTTAGTGACTTGGTTGAGTAGAGGCCACTTGGTTAAATCGCCTCCTTTGATTTGTGTAGCTGTCCTTGAACGAGGACGCACAAAACCGCAACTCACAAGCCATGCTTTTATTTCCCACAGAGCCTCCAGGTCCGATCGACAACACTAAAATTGCCGTGTCCAAAGGAAGTGGCCACATGCAAGTCAAACAGGGTAAGGAAGAGGAAAAGCAGCTTGGCCGGCCCACCAGGAGGGCTCTGCGGCAGAGGCAGGGGGGGTAGAGCCGTCTGACAGTTACCAGCTGCCTTCAGAGTCAGACATCAGTGAGGCAGAGGAACAGCTGGAGCCTCTTCCCAGTGGGCGCATGCACAGAGTTGCCAGAGGAAGGGAACAGCTAAAGAACAGGGGTCGACTTGGGAGGAAGGCCACAGGTGGACGGTGAATGGGCCCTCCCCAGAGGAAATAAAAGAGGAGCAAAAGGGGAGGGGAGTTTGCAGGAGGCAGTTAGTTCGCTTAATTCGTTCGTGACTCTCCGAGACTCTTTGCCAAGTTCTGCAGATCTCGGCCTGTCAGCTCTCCAAGCCAGATAAGGTCTGTGACCGTAAATCCTCCCTTGAAAGACTTTGCTGGAGGCGAAGGAGCAGAATTCACAGTCAGTTAATAAAAGGGGCTTTTGTTGGGACAAGGAGTTTGCTTCAGGCTCTTGGGAAGCCTCGGTCAGAACACAAATCAAAGACTGAAACCCAACCTTCCTCGAACAGAGTTTTGAGGCTCTGAGTTCAAATGCTGCCAGAGTGTCTCCTGATCGGCTCTGGCATCTTTTCCAGGAGCCGATTACGGGCAGATATCGGAGGAGACCTGGATCTACTTGAGCACGCTCTACGGCGGAGGCCCCGAGATCGCCATCCGGCAAAATGTGGCCCAGGTGCAGGAGGTGGAAAGTCTCCACGGGGAGCAGAAGATCGAAGCCGAGACCAGAGCGGTTTAAAACAAGGGAGACATTCAGGTGAGCTCCTCCGGAGAACCCCAAGTGGACGTATGTTTGGTTAAGTTAACAGGGCTGACATTTGCATCCTGCCTGAATTATTTCTACCAGCAGTCACCAACTGGGGGTCCGGGAGGAAATTTTGGTGGTCCGCAGAAAAATTACTTGCATTTTTTAATATTCTACTAAATCAGGGGTCCTCCCTCCCCCCCGGGACAGATACGTGCAATGAACGCTTATGTTGCTGCAGAGAGTCTCCCCCTTCAGGGTCTTTTTGTGGGGGTCGGAGAGGATCAGAAATTCCAACAGGTGGGGGGCTTTCAGCCTCTTGGTGGGGGTCTTTGGGTGAAGGCCGGAGGGAAGAGCCGCTGGGGGCGAAGAGCCGGAGGGCCTCGTTCCAGTGGGACTGCATCATGGCCTGGAACTGGCTGAGCATCTCAGCCCTCCGAACCTCCAGGCGCCAGACTGCAAAACTCACTTAGCGAATGTGTCCCTTAGCAACAGAAATGTTGGACTCGGTGGTGTCCGTACGTCCAGGATTGATTGTGTTGTTATTCTTGACTTCTCCCTTCCTTCTTTCCTTCCTTCCTTCCTTCCTTCCTTCCTTCCTTCCTTCCTTCCTTCCTTCCTTCCTTCCTTCCTTCCTTCCTTCCCGTAGGTCGTCTCCCCCTTCAAACTCCTGTGTTTTGGAAGTCAGCACACATCCATCCGCTGCTCTCACCACTACCGCCCTCTGCCCAGCCGGCCCCTTGGCCACCAGTCTTAATTTGAGGCTCGGTGGCTCCTCCCTCCCTCTTTGCCAGAGAGCAGGGAGGCTGACCGCATCTCGCCTGCCTACATTCGTCCCCAAATCGTCCGGTTCCAGGCCAGGAAGAGCACCTGGTCCGGTTTGGTCTCCTGCTTTCTCATCCCATCCACCTTCAGAAGCTGGGACAGGATTCGCCGGGATAAATTTTGGGCCGCCCTTGGAAGGAGGATCCGGTGTCACCACCGTTCCCCTTCGTCACCTTTGCTGGGCTTTTGTGACTTGAGGTACCAAGGAGCGGTGCACCATGGTCTCGGTTCTCCTTTTGGTTCCCCTCCTGAATTATTTACCTGGATGCAGGAAAGATTTTGAAGCCACCTGGAAAGGACCTGGGCGGTTGAAAGGAATACCTGGGCGACAGGTGTTTGTTGTTTTTTTTCTCTTCCTTTTGTGGCACACAAAAAAACCTTTTTTTTCCTTCACCCGTACGGGTCAAACGGTTGGGTGCAACCCCCCAATTCCCTTCTATTTATCTATTTATTTGCAAGGAATGGGTTGACCTTGGCTCTTCTCGTCTCTGCCCCAAGTATTGCCCAGCACAACCCCTAAAACCAAGCACGGACTTCAAGCCAGATCAACAAACACGCTTGAATTTTTCATCCAGCGGTTCCTTACACGCACCCCAAACGGCTACAGCCCCCCCCCCTCAAATGTTACAAAGAAGTGAGGGAACCCTCTAACATCTGTGCGCCGAAAGAGGTTGAGCATATCCTGGAAGGATCTGACAAGGGAACGGGGGGGAGGAACGGGACACCCCCATTCTCTGTCAGTCGATGCTGACGTTCGCCCCCATGTTCCTGCAAAACTTCCTTTCGGGGACTCGTGACTTTCTCCTCCACCTGGGTGATGCGTAGGGCAAAAGATGGAGCTCGGAGTGTTTTTTCCCCCCAGGCAAACGTCCGTCCCACTGTGGACGTGGACTAAGAGCAGGACTCTTGGACGTCTCCGCCTTTCGCTTCTCCGACGGAGCCCCGGTTCCTAATCCTCAAGAGATTCTTCACTCTCCTAGCAATTGGTCACTCGGCAACTTTCTTCCCCCAAACCTGCCCACAGTCTCTCACGTTTCGACCCAGGTTGGAATGGCGTCGCCCTCAACAAGCCAGTTTATTATTATTATTATTATTATTTTTCTGGAGAAAGGAGGAGGAAGAGATGCAGAATGAAACGTGGGTTTGGGAGAAGCTGCTTGGAAGACGTCAGTGGCAAAGGACGGGTTGGGGACTCACCTGGAGAGAGATCCTGGCCAAGGGGTTTGGCTTCACCTCTTATCTGCTGGATGCCGTTTCCTCCCCCTCCCACGGTCCTTCTGTGGGAGGGGCCGCCTTGTTTTCCATCGTCCCTCCTGGGTCTACTTTGCAGAGACGGGGGGATTCGGACGATTCATCCCGGTGCCCCAAAATGGATTTTGTTTTATTTTTTTTCCTGCCGAGAACATCAGCCAATAAAACCCGCTCGCATTCAAAAGTCCGTCAACGTTGCTTTGCTTCGATCTGCGGCAAGTCCTTTGAGCTGGGTGTGCTGCTATTTGTTGTGGCCCATGCCAGTGGCCGGCGGAGCTGGCATCAGATTCGGACAGTGGGGAGGATGGGCCAGTCCTGGAGTCTGGGGAAGGCTCTGGTGAGGGCTCTGTGTCGGAGACAGAGAGGACCAGGGCTGTCTGACAGTTATCAGCTGCCTTCAGAGTCAGACATCAGTGAGGCAGAGGAACAGCTGGAGCCTGTTCCCAGTGTGCGCATGCGCAGAGCTGCCAGACGAAGGGAAGAGCTAAAGAACATGGGGTCAACTTTGGAGGAAGGCCAGACAATGAATGGCCCCTCCCAGAGGGAATAAAAGAGGAGCGAAAGGGGAGTTTGCAGGAGACAAAATTAGTTCGTTTAATTGGTTCGTGACTCTCTGAGACTCCTTGCCAAGTTCTGCAGATCTCGGCCTGGCAGCTCTCCAAGCCGGAGAAGGTCTGTGACCGTAAATCCTCCCTTGAAAGACTTTGCTGGAGGTGAAGGAGCAGAATTCACAGTCAATTAATAAAGGGGGTTTTTGTCAGGACAAGGAATTTGCTTCAGGCTCTTGGGAAGCCCCGGTCAGAACACTCTTGTCCCCTGAGCTGTAGCCAAGGGTCAGCCCTATAGAAGAAAATGAAGGGGGAGGGGTGTAATTTTTATCTCCCCAGGCCCAGCCTGAATTTCCTTCTACTGGGAGGGCTGGGAGCATGGGAACTGATCAAGGATTGCATATTTAAAATCCTAGGGCAAGTGTGTGCATAATAGTAATATAATAATAATCTTATATCCCCCGGCGTTACCTTAACAGTTCCTAGGTCCTTGGTTGGGACTCCAGCTGTTGAGCTGCCAATCAGCCCCAAAGGCTTTGAATCTCACCAAAGATTAACCACATCATCATAACGATTATCATCGTCATCATATAGGTAGTCCTCAACTTACAACAGTTCATTTCGCGACGGTTCAAAGTTAAAAATGCACTGAAAATAAGAGTCTGTTTTTCATATTTATGATGGTTGCAGTGTCCCCGGGGGTGTGTGTGTGTTGTCACATGATTTTCAGATCTTACGACAAGCAAAGTCAATCCCGGAAGCCAAATTCACTTAACCACGGTGTTACTGATTTTAACAGCTGCAGGGATTCATTTAACAACGGTAGCCGGAAAAAGTCATAAATTAGGCAAAGCTCACAACCTCTTTCTCACTTAGCAACACAAATCAGGGGTTCAACTGTGGTCATAGTTAGGGGACAGCCTGTCCTTGACAATTAAGATATTTGCTTTGAAATAGGCCTTTCTACGCTTCTAAACTTGGATTCAAATTTGAAATTTGAGAACTCTCTACAAACTTGGTCCCTAATATGTTTTTTTTGGGGGGGGGGAATTGTCTCTCCAAATTGTCCAAAAAAACAATCCTCTTCTTTCATTTGTCTTTCATCTCTCTCTTACAAAAAAAACATTCCCAAAGCAGCTGTTCTGAGCTCTGCTTGCTTGGCAGTCACAAGGATTTTCCTTCTGGGGATAATAATTCATATTTGGCTGGGGTGATTTTTTTAAACCAATCCTTCCCTACAAAATTAGCCCACCCCACCCCCCCTGCTATTTTTGGTGGAAAGCCCACCCACCTGCAACAAGAGAGATATGAAAAGTGATCTCTTCTGCTTCGGGATCTTTTTGCTCCAGGCAGAGGATCAAGTGGGTCCTGGACCGGCTGGGAGAACTAGCAGAAGAGCCTCTTGCTGTTGGGGTTGATGGATTAACAACAGATTCCCTTTCTGTCCCTCCTCCTCCAGTCTGGAAATTCTTTAAGATCATATTACATACAGTAGACCAAATGAGCTTGCAGCTTTCCACGCTCCGTGTAAATCAGAGAAGCTGTTTTAAAAACTTCAGAATGAGAAAGGGGGGGGGGAGAGGAAGGAAGCAAGAAAAGGGAAAGGGAGAATGAAGAGAGGGAGAAGGAGGGAGGGAGGGATAATGAAAGGGAGAAGGAAAGAGTGGGAAGGAGGAAGGTAGCAAGGAAAGGAAAAGGGAGAATTAGGGAGGGAGGGATAATGAAAGGGAGAAGGAAATGAGGAAGGAAGCAAAGGAAAAGGGAGAAGGAGGGTGGGAGGGATAATGAAAGGGAGAAGGAAGGAGGGATGGAGGAAGCAAGGAAAGGAAAAAGAATGAGAAGAGGAAGGAAGGTGGGAGGGAGGGATAATAAAGGGAGGGAGGAAAGGAAAGGGAGAATGAGAAGAGGAAGGGAGAAGGAGGGAGGAATAATGAAAGGGAAGAAGCAAAGAAGGGAGAATTAGAAGAGGGAAGAAGGAATGAAAGGGAGAATGGAAAAGGGGGAGGGAGGGAGAAGGAAGGAAAGAAATGAGAAAGAGGGAGGAAAGAGAAGAATGCAGCCATGACAGACAGCATGATTCACTTAAGAACTGCTAATGATTTGCTTAACAGTCATGGCAGAAGAAGGTAGAAGGAGTCATGATTCCCTCCATCCTCACTTTTCTTAGCAATGGAATTTCTGCTCCTAAGTCAAGGGCCACCTATATTCTGTTGCAAGTATATAGGTGCAAAGTTTGTCATTATTCCCCCCCCCCTGCACTTAGTTTTCTACTTTTCTTTTCTAAATAAATCCACACTGAACATGCGCCAATCACAGTCGAAGCCGTCGCTCGCTTTCAAATGGAAGCACTTTATTTGATTGAATTCTGTCGCCAGAAATAAAATGAGTCGGAAACACTAGAACTCGGATTTTCTTTACACCTTGTTTTTTTCAGCTAGGAAAATCATACATACACACAGACATTTAAGTCGCCACCAAAAAACCTACATTAAAAGAATCCAGTGCCTAAACACACAGAAGTAAAACATAAAAAAAAATAAATGGAAAAAACAAAAAAAAAAGTGCTTAACGTTTTATGTTAAAATATAATTTGGCGGGTTTTTTTTTCTTCTTTACATTTTTTGACACTTCAAGCATGAGAAGGAGAGATGCGAAGTACGCAGAACCTTTGAAAAATACTCAGCATTAAAACACAGTTTTTCAGTAAATATTTTTTTTTCTCTCTCGTTTTATTTACAGATGGTAAGAAAGGGCGTTAGCGGATGAGTGGAGAGGCCAGGATAATCTCGTCTTTTTAGTCTGATCCTAACCAAGGAGGAAAAAAACCTTTTAGAAACTTGGTTGTGTTATTTACCTACTTCAAATTCACACCTCTAAGGCCCTACGTTAAAATTTCATGCACACTTTTTAAGCGTAGATGAAACTTTTCAAATATATTCTAACATAGGGTCTCTACTCCCTCGGGGACAAGGGACAATATTCTGAATCTGGAAAAAAAATTTAAAAAACATTTCTCTTAAAATTTATTACGTGATGTGTACGAAGGTTTCCAGGGTGAAATTAAAAAAAAAAAACAATCTCAAAACAAGCCTTCCAAGTCAAAACACATGTTGGGATTCAAAACTGCAGCTTTTTTGGCACCGTGATTTCCTAAGTATTTTTTTCCCCCAGCCATCCTGGGGGAGGAGGAAGGTGGCTGAGCCTTGGGAAGCAAAATCCCCTGTAAAATAGGCACCCCCCAAAAAAATAATTGAATTAAAATAGCAATAGCACTTAGACTTATATACTGCTTGGAAGGGTGGGAGTCTGGTAAGATTCAGTCTACCCAATTTCAGGCAACTGGCAGGCAGCAGAAACAGCCTGCAGTGATGCACTCTTGACAACTGCGCCACCAAGGCTCAAGGGCAAAATTAATTAAGATAACAATTCTCCGTCCTTAACATTTTCTCCCCCGTTTTCCGTTGCATGAAAAATAAGCATTTCCAGCAAAACCTCTCTTGGGGCATTTGCTCCTAATCCAGGGTTGAAAAAAGAATAACTTTCCCTTCCTTTTATGTCTTCAACAAATCCACGCCTTTCTTTTTTTCCCAAATTAAACCCATGTCCTATCAACCTTTGCAAAAAGGTTAAGGTGGACAGTCGATAACCGGTCTGGCGGCGTCTTTGCACCTGGATTAAAAAAAAAAGGGAGATTGAAACCATGGCTCAATTGCAACCTTGGTTTGTGGGAAACAAAGTTGGGTTTATCTATCTTATCTGTCCATGTGGACGTTCCTGAATCAGGGATTGGTCCAGCGAGATCTTAGATCCGGTGATGCACCAAACATGAAGCTTTACAAAGAAGCATTTTAAAAAAAAAATATTTTGGGTGGGAGAAAAGGGGAACTTGTTCCCCAAACTGTTCAAAAGGCAAAAGAGAAAGCAGGGAGAGGCCCTTTTCTAAGGATGCCGGATTTGGGAAAGGAGAAGGGAAAAAAAATTGGGAATTTTAAAAACTAAAGTGGGATCTTTATTTTGGAGAGCCCCAGGTGCAAAAGATGTCCTGCCTTTCTGGACTGCAGGGAAAGAAGAATTTTCAGATGATTTTATTTCCAAGAACTCGGCCCAACCGGGAGTTTCCTAAATCGAAGGCCAAATAGGAAGCTCTCTCTTGCCAAATCATGCTGCAACTTTATTTTATTTTGCTTTGGGCTTCCTCAAACTCTCCCTGCAAGGTGGGAAACCTGGAAGGCTAAACTGCCTTCTGCTCCAGAGAGGTTGGGGCAGGTGGGGGGGGGAGGTTGCCTGGCCCACCAAGGTAACAATTGGGGGGGGGATGCCCTCTCCCTGAATATCCATGTCCACCCTAAGTACATTGAGAGCTGCAGTAGACCAAAGTCCAGAGAAGGCTCTGCCTTCCCCCTCCCTCCCCCCCCCACCAACTTCTGATCCCCACAGGTAAACTGTTCCCAAGAGTGGAGGCTCAATTTAGATTCCTGGGCTTGTGGGCGCCCCATCCTCCGCAAATCCAAGCTGCCCGTTCCTAGATTTGTTCCCATCTTGGCGAGGTTCGTAGCAGGCAATTTTTATTCCACCAGGATATTTTTAATGGTGAGGATGTGCGATGATGAGTTATAACGGTGCAAGATGGACA